GAGCCGCGCGGGTGCCGTTGTCGATGCAGACTCGGACCTGGAGAGCTTGCTATCCCTTAGCAAGACCGAAGAGGAAAGCCTTCTCCGCTCGCCGGAACCAGGTACCAGCTCCCTGCGTAGGGAAGGGCCGAAGCGTTTCAGGGAGGGGATGAAGGCAAAAGCTCAGTATAAGCTCCAGGGCAAGGCGGATATCTCCCAAGAGGAGAAATCCAAGCTAGCCTGGGCTGAGCAACGGGTACAGGAGGGCCGCGAATACTACGCGTAGTTGCCGCAGATGAAGGCAACAAACGGTGGATTCGCAAACAAGGTGGAGGAGATGTGTCCACCAAGAGGCAACGCTCGATCGAGAGTGCTGCCAAAGACACTCCGGCGAGAAAGCGGCAACGCGGGCCCAAGGTGGCCACCCCCCAGCCGAAGACGAGGAAGACGAGGAAGCCGAGGCACAAGGCCATGAGCGAGGTGTCCAAGAGACATCTCATTGTGGCCTTGATCGATCGCAGCGACGAGAATGGGAAGATGACGGCGGCGCAGTGGAAGTTAGTCCACGCGCAGCTCGTCGATGCACTGTTCTCGCGAATGGAGGAGGACCCTAGCGCTCCCATGCCCACGTTCGATGGAGCGGGATGGCTGAACGGGGTCAAAATCCTCAAATGCAACGACGACCCAACGCGGCAGTGGCTGGTGCAGAAGGTGCCCCTACTGGAAGCTCTGTGGGAGGGGGCCAAGCTGGAGGTGGTAGACATTGCTCTTCCCCATTGCTGTCCAGGGGGAGCGAGCACTGAAGCTGCTGCAGAGGCAAAATCCGGACGTGCCAACGGCTGACTGGAAGGTTCTGCATGCCGGTAGCCCACTACCCTACGAGGGGGGCCAGCACGTGATCCTCCAGATCAGCAAGGTGGTTGAGGACATCCTGTATCCCAAGTTCGGGAAGATGGCGTGGGGCGTAGGTAGCGTATACCTACGGCTGAAAAAGCGCCACCCCGAGGATAAAGATGCGCACACCCTCCAGGCAGGCGAGGTCGAGAAGGACCTAGGTCTGGAGACCATAGTGGAGGCCGCCCAGGATCTTGCGCTGGATGACTCGGAGGAGGAGGAGGACGGTGGCGTTGACCTGACAATCATAGTCAACCCGTCGTGCGAGGTTGAGTTAGCCACCCATGACACTAAGGGTGCTGCAAATTAATCTCCATAAAAGCAAGGTAGCGTCGGCGGAGCTCCTCATTGCCATGGAGCAAGGGCCCGCCGACATAGCTTTAGTCCAGGAGCCGTGGATTACGTCAGGCAACTCTGTGGCCTCAAATTACTCCTCAAATTACAGCCTTCTCTACTCAACATCGGTAAGCAGGAACAGAACCGCCGTACTCGTACGGAAGGGAATCCATGCTCATCTTATGTCTCATTACAGCACGGATGACCTGACGGTGGTGATGCTGGAGAGCGAGGAAAAGCGCCTAATGGCAGCTTCCTGTTACATGGCACACGACAGGCCCGCTCCACCGGAAGAACTTAGGAGTCTGGTGACAGAAGCCGGCTCCAAAAATCTCCAACTCCTCATCGGTGCAGACGCCAACGCCCATCACAATGTGTGGGGAAGCCCTGACACCAACGATAGAGGTGAGTCACTCCTAGACTTTATCTTATCAACTAACTTAGATGTAGCAAACGTGGGGGAGGAACACACCTTCGTGGGTCCCACCTCGTCAAACGTGCTAGACCTAACTCTTGTCACGGGAAAGAGTACCTTGGTATCTGACTGGAGAGTCCTCGAAAGACCATCCTTCTCAGACCATAAGTACATTCAGTTCAAGTGCGAATTCAAACACTCTTCGAAGATAACAGTCTATAGAAACCCCCGAAACACAAACTGGGTAAAGTTTAAAAAGACTGTTACTTCGAAGCTCGCGAATCCGGGCTCAGTGAAATCCGCGGAGGATATAGAGAAATCCCCAAAGACCCTATCCAACGAGTTACTGAACGCCTACCATGCATCGTGCAAACCCTCGAGAACGAAGAGGAGGTCCAAGCCACTCTGGTGGAACCGAGATCTCTCTCTCCAAAGGAACAACCTCAAGGAATTCTTCAAGATCGCCAAACAAGCGAACGAAGAGATTGTCAATGAGGAATATAAAATCCTACTTAGGAGCTACAAGAAAGAAATACGTAAGGCACAAAGGAACTCGTGGAGAAACTTCTGCTCCAACATTGAGAAAGTGCCCGAAACCGCTAGGCTCCGGAAGCTGCTCTCAAAGCAGCCCACAGTACAGAGCCAACTAAAACTAGACAACGGACAGTGGACAGAGGGCAGTAAAGAAGTCCTAACAGCACTAATGGAGGCGCACTTCCCTGGATGCACCGAGGTCACTGACGCCAAGGAGCATCCGGACCTAGCAACTGAGGAACAGCACCCCCCAATTGGTCTGTTAACCACTAAGAGAATCCACTGGGCCGTAGACTCCTTCGCGGCCATAAAAGCACCAGGACTGGACGGGATATTCCCAGCCATGATGCAGTTGACCAAAGAGGTTATTACCCCATGGCTCCTCGCAATATACTCAGCATGCCTAAGTACGGGCTATATCCCCATCCAATGGAGAACCTCGAGAGTTGTCTTCCTCCCTAAGGCAGGAGAGTGCAGCCACGTGAGTCCCAAGAATTACAGACCGATAAGCCTTACCTCCTTTATACTAAAAACACTAGAAAAGCTGTTGGATTTACACATCAGGAATGAGGTAGAGGGACTGATGTCAACAAACCAGCACGCCTACACCAAGGGGGAAATCAGTGGAGACGGCACTACACTCGCTAGTAGCCACCATCGAGAGCGCCCTTCACAACAAAAAGTATGCTTTGGGAGCATTTGTGGACATCTCAGGAGCATTCAACAACGTGGCCACAACCGCAATAACAAGTCGCCTAGAAGCGAATAACATACACCCTGCAATCAACGTCTGGATCAAAAACCTCCTAAGTTGTAGACGGGTGCAATCGGAGTGGGGCACTGCTTCCATGGTGAAAGAGGCACACAGAGGCACACCCCAGGGTGGAGTCCTGTCGCCCCTCCTGTGGAATCTGGTGGTCGACGACCTCATCAAGAGATACGAAAGGAAGGCCCCAATAATAACAGCTTATGCGGACGACATAAGCATACTTATTACGGGTGTTTGCCCATCGACCCTCAGCTCCATAATGGAACGTACACTCAGGGAGATACGCGAGTGGGCGGAAGAAGTAGGACTCAGTATCAATGCGGACAAGACGGACCTCATCCTCTTTACCAAGAGGTACAAGGTACCGATATGGACCCCCCGAAAATTGACCAAACTAGGCTGACTCCAAAATCACAGGTGAAATACCTAGGCACAGTACTGGACAGCAAGCTGGCATGGAGGCCCAATGTAGTGGAAAGGGTGAAGAAGGCTACCATTGCGCTTTATGCATCCAAGAAGATGCTCAGCAGCACATGGGGCCTGTCACCTGCTCTAATGCACTGGATCTACATCTTGGTGGTGCGACCAACTCTGCTGTATGGAGCCTTAGTGTGGTGGCAGGCTATTGAAAAGAAGACATACCATAAGCGTATGTCGACAGCGACAGGCTCTGCTCTGTATTACAGGGGCGCTGAGGTCAACCCCAACAAAAGCACTTGAAACTATACTCGGAATCGACCCCCTGGACATATAGCTTCAGGAAACCTATCCATACAAGGATACGGGCACAGTTCAATTGGCAGGGACATGACCAGATCAACTGATTACATGACCCCCCAAACTTGCCTTGACGTCAAAACAACCACATCTTTGGGACCTGAAGACTGGAAAATTGGAAGGGACCAAACTGAGCACCTCAATATATACACAGACGGCTCCAAGATGGAAGGAGGATTAGGAGCGGGCCTATACTGTACAGACCCTGAGATAAGGCTGTCGTATAAGCTACCGGACCAATGCAGCATATTCCAGGCAGAAGTTTTTGCCAATCGGGAAGGCAGCGGAGGTCGCTCTCCTAACAGAACGAGCACACGATGCGGTCAACCTATTCGTCGACAGCCAAGCGGCGATAAGATCCATGCAGTCGTCCGCGGTCAGTTCCAGAAGTGTCTTGGCGAGCAGGGAGGCATTAGACATCCTAAGCACAACAAAGACAGTGCGGATCTATTGGGTTCCCAGCCACCAGGGCATCGAAGGAAACGAAGCGGCGGACGTACTAGCTAAGGAAGGCGTCGGGCTGGAGAATAGGAGAACCGAGAACGTGCCTGTCTCCCTTAGAACGCTGCAATGCGATCTAGAGAAGCAGGCTAGAACACAGACTGATAAAAGGTGGAACAGTACCACCACCTGCAAAACCTCGAAGATAATGTGCAAGGAACGCAACGAGAAACTTAGCCACTACCTACTGCACCTACCACGAAAAGACTGTAGATTGCTAGTGGGAATACTTACAGGTCACTGTCTGGCTGCTGCACATGCAGCTAAGCTAGGCATCACCAACAGAGACAGCTGTAGGAAATGTGATGAACCTGGGGCTATCGAAACCCTGGAACATCTCATCTTCTACTGTCCGGCTCTCTCAAGGGCAAGGAGGAGATACCTGGGCGCCCCAGTGCTGGCATCACTGGAAGATGCCTCCAAAAGGACGCCACAGGAAGTGCTGGCCTATGCTAAAAACACCTCGATTCTCGGGGACTTTAAAACCACCTAAACACTCCCGCGACGGTTCATAAATTCTATTTATGTTTAAACATTCTGCAAGGGGACGAAAATGGCATTGTCTTGACGATAATATGTTCATGTTTGAACACACAACAACACAAAAAAAAAAAAAAAAAACACGTATACATGAACCTACATAACTTTATGGCTGAGCGGCCACGGCCAGCGATCGCCCACGTCATTTGAACTTACAAAATACATCATCTACACGCCAAACACCTTCCACATTAAATGTTGTTTTGTTCCTTGTGTTGTCCATTATACAGTATTTAGTATTTATTATTAGCTTAAACAGTTTAACATAAAATCTTGGCCATTGAACTAAATATGTAAAAACACCAACACCTTTCACGAACCGAAATCTGCAATCAGCTGTTCAGTTCCAGCAGATTAACCCTTAGTGGGTGACGCGGGGGTCCCGTCAGTCCACCGTATTTGGTCGAGCGATTTGTGGAAATCTCCTTATTGTTTATGTCCCGGGGACCCTTAACAAGAGCTCTTGGTAGGTTAATCTCCGTATGGGCCCGAGTTTAATTAACTCCCGTAAAACTGGATCCAGTCATGTACACATGTTCCATTACGTATGGTTGAACGAAATTTCAGCTGTTATTTCCTTGTTTGCCTTTGTGTCGAACGTTTTGGTGTTTCTATTTATTTATGAGAAAGATGAAATTGTCAACTTATAATTACTAAAGCTTGGATATATATTGAAACATGATGGAGTAAATTACAATAGAGGGAGGACGCGTGGCGTAAGCCATGGATTGGGCCAGCCGCAGCCGTTCCAGCAGAGGGTGGACAAATGAATGTTGTGGTTGATCACAGGTAGGGCGGGCGCGCGAAGTGATAACACCCAAGCTTCACCCACTTGATAGCCGTCTGTTTATGATTTTCTTTGTATTTTGGTTGTTGTTAGTTTTGATGTCCCGAGGAGTAGTATGTCTCCATCTTTGTCTACATTTGGCGGGCAAGGGAACTACCCAGCCTTGGGGTCGACAGCTAGCCGGCGTTGCCCTCTGGGAAACAAGCCAAGTGTAACAGATACGCATTAATATTTGAACATAATTTTCGTTGACCTAAAAAATAGGAAGGTAATAAGTTTTTTTTGTAATATATTATTTAAATAAATTCATATATACTTTTTTCCAAAGCAGTGGATCAGTTTCCTCCGTGGCAAATGAGCTCTCCATATACTGACTTGTTATTATAATGGCACCATTACGGGCGGTATTTTTGTTTTCCATTGCCTTTTCTTGAAAAAAATAAAAAATCTAACAGATCCCAACAGAACGTACCACCGAATGAGGCAAAATTAGCGTTTCAGGTCGCTTCAGTCGCCATTACACACACTTTTTTCACAGTTAAAAGCATTAACTAAAAAATTTCGAGTGCTATCGATAGTGACGAGCCACTATCGATGGTGTCTCGATAGTGCCAAACCATCGATAGTGGCGATAGTGCCATCGATAATTCTCCACCTCTAGCGTAACCTAGACCAAGTTTTGATACGTCAATTGAAAAATTTAATAATAAAAAACGCTGTTTTTTTCAACCAGTCCGTGTACGTAAACAACGTAACGTTATATTGAAATACTGCAAATATCCTTGGTTTATGTGTTTATTCGGGCTAACCGTTCGAGTACATAGAAATGTACACATGTACATATATAGATTTTCAAATTACTATAAATTTGCAAATAAACCAAGAGTGAAAAAGGCCAAAATAGACCTTGCTTTAGTAGCATCGTGGAAGCATACAGATAACTTAAATATGCCAATATATGTATATTATAGTTATTCGGCAAGGTCCTATTTTATGTGCAATGGAAAGTGTGCTGCAGCTCGTTCACACGTGTATAACATTGGTTGGCATCACTAATGTTCCGTTTTGCCTGCTGTCTACGCTCACAAACACACTGCAAAACATATGTATGTACATATGAATGTTTGCGTGCCAATCACTCTCCTATAAACATATGTATACAGTAAAGGAAAGAAGTCAACATACAGCACCAATTTTTCAATATTTCTGGTTTTCGCAATGAGAATTAAGAAAATTGGTATGCCATTATTTAGGACACTTTGTATTATTTATATTTGAGAAAAAAAAATTTTTTTAAACGATGTGAAAAAATTCACTCAAAAACAATTGCCAATTTTTTGCACAAGGATGGTGATGAAACCTTTGATTTCTGAAAAGAATCGGATGTTTCGCCTGGAATTCGAAAAAGTACACTTAAATAAGGATCAAGACTTTTGGAAAAGTGTTTTATTTACTGATAAACCTGATAACTCCAAATTTTGGAGAATGGCAAAGATTTTGACCCTATAAAGATGATACCCACCGTCAAGCTGGATGCGGTAGTGTAACGGTTTGGAGCGCTACGGCGTCGTCTGGAGTCGGTAATTTGGTGTTTGTGAAAGGGAATATAGATCGCTTCCAGTTGGAATAAATTTGAAGAAAATTTAAAAGCATCGGCGGATACATTAAGCATGGGAAACAGTTGGATCTACCAACAGGACAATGATCCAAAGCACATCATACATGTTGTGCGAGATTGGTTGCTGTAATATGCCCCAAGACAGCTTGATTCACCACCCCAATCGCCAGACCTTAACCCCATCGAACATCTGTGGGACATTTTAGAAAGATTGGTACGGAAGTATGATATCAGCAATCGGAAAAGCCTCAAAACCGCCCTTATTCGAGCTTGGGCGGAAGTTACGCCGACAACAACCGAAAATTTGTTGCCATCGGTGCCCCGAGGACTACAAGCTGTAATAGATGCCAATCGTGGACCCACCAAATAACACAAGTATAATAAGTATTAATATTAAGATGACTTTGAAACTATAATACAAAAGCATAGAGGCTGTATGAAGACTTCTTTCCGTATACATAATTTTTTAAAAAAAATTTTTTTTTTTTAAATAATGATAATTGTAAGTGTCCTAAATAATGGCCTACCAACTTTTTTAGTTATCAATGCGAAAGCCCGAAATATTGAAAAGTTGGTGCTGTATGTTGACTTTTTTCCTTTACTGTATATATATGTGGGTATTTTGGTTTGGCTTAGCAGATTAACGTTTATGTTATGAAATTCACTTATTGGTGAATATACATATACCTTGCATGGCACATATATGTCATATACATACAGTCAGCACAAAATTTATTCGGACACCCGTACATTTCAATTTTCTTTATAAATAACTTGAAAAGTATTTAACTTTAACAAAAAATTTGTATTTCATTATGAACACATTATTCGGATACATTTTCGGTTATTCTTCTTTCTTAGAAAATGCAACGGTAATCGGTGATTCTTTTTGCGTACTTCTCTTGCATAATGCTTCTCTTTCCTTGTGATCTGCTTTTTTCTCTGCTTTGATGTTAGTTTTGCTCGGGAAGAGCGAAAAGTACTGTCGACCGTTAAAAAAAAACCCCAAAATTTCGTCAACAACACTGCCAATTCATTCAAGAAAGCAACCAAGCAAGTGTTTCTGCCCAAACTGTTCGTAGCTGCCTACAAGGTGCTGCATTACATGGTAGAGTTGTTCGCCGAAAACCATTCATTTCAGATGTGAACAAAAAAAATAAATTTGGAGTTCGCCAAACTTCATTTAAATAGGCCAGATTCTTTTTGTGACATGGTGGACCATCCAAAGTATGGAGAAAGGAGAATGAAGCCATGAAAGAGCATGGCGGTGGAAATGTAATGGTTTGGGGGTGTATAGCAGCAGTTGGACCTGGGTAAATGGTGTTAATTGAGGCTTAGATGGACAAACACAGCTACAGGAATATTTTGAGTGACAATTAAATTAAATGCCGAGCGTCAAAAAATTGGGTCTTGATGCGAAGAATTTCTTGTTTCAACAATACTCGACCCCAAACATACCTCGTATTTGGTTCAAGAATGGCTGTTGTATCACTGCAAGCAGTTAAAAACGCCGCAGCAGTCATCAGATCTGATCCACTCTATGGGGATTTGCTGGAAAAAAAATTAGAAAACATAAAATTTCCTCCAAGGAAACCATTAAAACGGCTCTGATGAAGGAATGGGAGAAAATTTATCCCAATCAAAACAATAATTTGGTAAAAAGTATGCCTAGACGTCTAGTTGTTATTGGAGCTAAGGGCGGCCCCACCAAATATTGAAAGCTGAAAAATTCAGGTTAAATAAGTTTTTTTCGTAAAATCTAAATTGTGTCCGAATAATTGTGCTTAAAAAAGTGCCTTTTTTATACTTTTAAGTTTTTTTTCATATGCCAAAGAAAGTTTTTTTTTTGTTTTTATGGTTAAAATTAGTATTAGTAAACTTGATCTTCATAATGAAAAACACATTTTTATACCCGATACTCAAAATGAGTATTGGGATATATTAGATTTTTGGTAAAAGTGGATGTGTGTAACGTCCAGAAGGAATCGTTTCCGACCCCATAAAGTATATATATTCTTGATCAGCATCAATAGCCGAGTCGATTGAGCCATGTCTGTCTGTCCGTCCGTCCGTCTGTCCGTCCCCTTCAGCGCCTAATGCTCAAAGACTATATAAGCTAGAGCAACGATGTTTTGGATCCAGACTTCTGTGATATGTCACTGCTACAAAAATATTTCAAAACTTTGCCCCGCCTCCACAAAGGGCGAAAATCTGTGGCATCCACAATTTTAAAGATACGAGAAAACAAAAAACGCAGAATCGTAGAGAATGACCATATCTGCAGAATCTGAATTGGATCGTATTACTATTATAGCCACCATCAAGAAAACAATTTCATTTTTTCTCGCCCTGTCTCTCTCTAACACACAGGTAGCATAGGCGGCTTTGCTTAGAGTAAAACATTAGCGCCTAGATCTCAGAGACTATAAAAGCTAGAGCAACCAAATTTGGTATCCACACTCCTAATATATCGGACCGAGACGAGTTTGTTTCAAAATTTCGCCACACCCCCTTCCGCCCCCGCAAAGGATGCAAATCTGGGGATATTCACAAATCTCAGAGACTATTAAAGCTAGAGTAACCAAACTTGGTATCCGCACTTCTGTTAGATCTCACTATAAAACCTTTATCTCAAAATTTCGCCCCACCCTCTTCCGCCCCCACAAAGGACGAAAATCTGTTGCATCCACAATATTGCAGATTTGAGAAAACTAAAAACGCAGAATCATAGATACCGACCATATCTATCAGATTGCTGAATCTGGATCAGATTAGATCATTTTTATAGCCAAAGGAAACAAATCAATTTGCAGTGGCTACGCAGCGCATGACGTCACGTTCAGACTGATTTTCTGTCTCTCTCGCACGCACTCTTTGTCGTGTCGTTTAATATTAGCGGCCTCTGCCGGAGGAGAGCCATACTGACTTAGTATCGGGTATAACTCTAGAGTTGCGGTGTCCGCAGCAACTCACAACGTTCCCCCTCGTTTTTGTTAATGTTAAGTGCTTTTCAAGCTATTTATAAAAAAAGTTGAAATAGACGAGTGTCCGAATAAATGTTGTGCTGACTGTACATATCTTGATTACCATCTCCATCTTTGGAAAAGTGCGCATCAGCTTTAACTGACGTATATTTTCATATCTTTTCATGTGTGGTAATTCGACGCCAGATGGTGACAAGGACTGTGAATCAAATGTGCATATAATATTCTAATAGAAACACTCGCATATGTACATTTCTACTAAACTTACATAATCAAAAGAACCAACAATCGAATGTTCCATTTTCAGAAATTAGCAAACAGTACAAGCAGCGACAGAAAATTAAATGAAAATGTCTATCTCGTTAGCTTTTTGACGTTTTCTTTTCTTTCGATTCGTTTGACTCACACATTCCACACTGCAGTGAGCAAAACAATGCACAACAAATTGAGCTAGAGGGACACCACATACATTTTCTCTCTGTCACAACGTTTTTCGTAACAGTGTGAGTGCGAGTCATGCGAAATGGCAGGAGTCACTCGACAATTATGCCCTGAGTCAATGAGTCAGCATATGAAGCAAAACAATGAATTGAAAGATAGTGTGAAAAAGAGACATGAATCATGTTTTTATACCCGATACTCAAAATGAGTATTGGGGTATATTAGATTTGTGGTAAAAGTGTATGTGTGTAACGTCCAGAAGGAATTGTTTCCGACCCCATAAAGTATATATATTCTTGATCAGCATCAATAGCCGAGTCGATTGAGCCATGTCTGTCTGTCCGTCTGTCCGTCTGTCCGTCCGTCCGTCTGTCCGTCCCCTTCAGCGCCTAATGCTCAAAGACTATAAGAGCTAGAGCAACGATGTTTTGGATCCAGACTTCTGTGATATGTCACTGCTACAAAAATATTTCAAAACTTTGCCCCGCCCACTTCCGCCCCCACAAAGGGCGAAAATCTGTGGCATCCACAATTTTAAAGATACGAGAAAACCAAAAACGCAGAATCGTAGAGAATGACGATATCTTTTAGACTGCGGAATCTGAATTGGATCGTATTATTATTATAGCCAGCATCAAGAAAACAATTTCATTTTTTCTCGCCCTGTCTCTCTCTAACACACACGTAGCATAGGCGGCTTTGCTTAGAGTAAAACATTAGCGCCTAGATCTCAGAGACTATAAAAGCTAGAGCAACCAAATTTGGTATCCACACTCCTAATATATCGGACCGAGACGAGTTTGTTTCAAAATTTCGCCACACCCCCCTTCCGCCCCCGCAAAGGATGCAGATCTGGGGATATTCATAAATCTCAGAGACTATTAAGGCTAGAGTAACCAAATTTGGTATCCGCACTCCTGTTAGATCTCACTATAAAACGTATATCTCAAAATTTCGCCCCACCCCCTTCCGCCCACACAAAGGACGAAAATCTGTTGCATCCACAATATTGCAAAATCGAGTAAACTAAAAACGCAGAATCATAGACAATGACCATATCTATCCGGTTGCCGAATCTGGATCAGATCGGATCATTTTTGTAGCCAAAAGCAAGAAATCAATTTTTAGTGGCTACGCAGCGCCCGACGTCACGCTCAGACTGATTTTCTGTCTCTCTCGCACGCACTCTTTGTCGTGTCGTTTAATATTAGCGGCGTCTGCCGGAGGAGAGCCATACTGACTTAGTATCGGGTATAACTGTAGAGTTGCGGTGTCCGCAGCAACTCACAACGTTCCCCCTCGTTTGATACTGTGCACAGTGGGATTCCTAAATGTTAACACGAATTAGTGTGCACTCGTGCAGGGCTCTAGTAGGTATACACATACATATGTATGGGAATTTCCGCCAAAATATCTACCAAGCCAATAAAAAACTGATTTCCATATAGTTTTATATCGATATTATTTTCTAAATTTATTGATTTGTTGATTTATTGAATTTATTACCCAATTGACATATCGATTCATAACCTTTGATCTGAAAGCCTATTCAAATAAGCAAAGGTTAACTTTTTCGTAATTTTATAGTCATGTTTCCCTTTATTATTTTCTCATTTAAGAAAGATGGTTCTTGATCAAAAATGCTAGATTTGTGGTGAAGGTGGATGTGTGTAACGTCCAAAAGGAATCGTTTCCGACCGCATAAAGTATATATATTCTTGATCAGCATCAATAGCCGAGTCGATTGAGCCCTGTCCGTCTGTCCGTCCGTCCGTCTGTCCGTCCCCTTCACCGCCTAGTGCTCAAAGACTATAAGAGCTCTAGCTAAAACCAATAACGCAGAATCGTAGAGGATGACTATATGTTCTAGAGTGTAAAATCTCAACCAGATCGTATAATTATTATAGCCAGAATCAAGAAAACAATTTCATTCTTTCTCGCTCTGTCTCTCTCTAACACACATTTTTCATGCTCGGTTTTGCCAATTGCAAAATATGAGTTCAAGGATCTCAGAACCTATAAGAGCCAGAGCAACCAAATTTGGTATCCGAACTTCTGTTAAATCTCACTATAAAACGTATATCTCAGAATTTCGCCCCACCCCCATCCGCCTCCACAAAAGACGAAAATCTGTTGCACCCACAATATTGCAGATTCGAGAAAACTAAAAACGCAGAATCATAGATAACGACCATATCTATCCGATTGCTGAATCTGGATCATATCGGATCATTTTTGTAGCCAAAAGGAACAAATCAATTTGCACTGGCTACGCAGCGCCTGACGTCACGCTCAGACTGATTTTCTGTCTCTCTCGCACGCACTTTTTGTCGTGTCGTTTAATATTACCGGCGTCTGCCGGAGGAGAGCCATACTGACTTAGTATCGGGTATAAATGTAGAGTTGCGGTGTCCGCAGCAACTCACAACGTTCCCCCTCGTTTTTTTTGTGTATATGTATATACATATGTACATACAAGCAAATTTACTGGTCAGAGCAATTGTAGATATCAAACATTTAGGGGAATTCCTATTTTGTGGAAATTTAAGGGGATTCAATTTTTGCAATAGAAATGTGTTGAAATGTGTTTGGGAACTATCAATGCAATCAGACGAGTTTGGTAAAGACATTTTTTATACGCAAACTTAATTTTCCAATGTTTCCTAATTTGAATAGGTTTTAGAGATAAGGAACCAATAACCAATTTTTGTATACGATCAATATCTTTTTTACATGGTTTTATCAGGAACCAATCTACCGTGTAAAAACAGAATTAGATGTACTTTATGTTTTCAGCCAATACGTTTAGATTTCGGTTTAGGGGCTCCCGGGTTTACAAATTTTTGGTATCGATATGTTTCAATTTCTCATCGGATCTGGCAAACAAAAACAGCTGACCTGGTTGCTTTGAACGTATACAGCGTGATAAAAATGCTCTTATTTTTTCAATTTTTTGTTTTGAAGTAAAAAGACGGCAAAAAGTGCGCCAGTTAAAAAGATCAAGATATCTTAGATGCATGTCTTACAAACTGTAAGTAACAGCATGCATATTGAAAGTTAAATCAAAAAATGAATTTGTTGTACCTACATTTTGAATTGAATGTGGCGGGAAACCGCTCTTAGCTTACCCAGGTTTCTGGTACTTTCGTGTTACAAGCATAGTCTGTGATGTTACATGCAGTGTGTGCTGTTACATGCACATTTGTGCTGTTACATGCACATTTGTGCTGTTACATGCACATTTGTGCTGTTACATGCACATTTGTGCTGTTACAAGCACAAGAAGGAAGCGTTTCCGGCCCCATAAAGTATATATATTCTTGATTAGCATGAATAACCGAGTCAATATAGCGACGTCTGTCTATCCATCTGTTTGAC